GGGTCAATTTTTGGAGTCCAATAGGGTCAGTTTTCAATTTTGTTAACCAATAAAAATAGCCAATTGTAAGATGTTTTGTGTTTTTTTTTTCTGGGGTTTAACATTTATTTAGTTGCATTTTTGTTGTTTAGCATTTACGTGTGTATATATTATTAAATTTAGATTTAATCATATAATTGTTACAAATTAGAAAAAGAGGTGTAAACAAGCCAAATTGTTGCGATTGAACAGAACACATGACGAAATGGTTACAAATTATACAAAAATATATATTACATTGTTTTTTTTATTGTTTTTTTATTTGCATCTTAAACATAAACTGGGGCTCTGTGCAGTGTGTGTTCTCCTTTTATTATTTTATAGTTATTTAAAATAACTGAGGTAAACTAAGCATAAAGATGGGGAACAATTTTGGGTTATTGCTGTTCACGTGAAATTAAATTTAAAATTAAAGACGAAAGATAATAATCGTAAGTACAATTGGCTTGTTGATGGGGATTTTCGTGTTATTTTCTTTGTTTGTTTTTTTTTGTTTTTACATTTCGCACTAGGGTATTAATATAGAAAAACAATTACTAACAAAAATATATAACAAAAATTACATCGATCTCTTACGAAATGTTCGGTGCACTACATTTTACTTTAAATTGAACTTAAATTTTGTTTTGTACCTGTGCACGCACTTATGTATTATTATTATTTTATGTGTTTTACATTTGTATTCTTGTTACAGTTTTCATTTTGTTTAATGGTTTCGCTTACAAATTAATTTATACAACTCAAGGATAGAAGGTAACTAAGAATTATTGAAAAATTACGAATATACAATACACAATTCATCGTGTTGTTTTCTTTTAGTTTATTATATGTACAATAACTTGTTGTTTTTCGTGACGTGACGTGACTTTTCCTACGGTTCACGTTATGTGTGCTTTACTGTACGCTCTAAATGCAAAATGGCGACATTGGTTGTGTTTTTTTACGTTTAGATTAAGTTAATTACGCTCTCTGGGATTTTATTTTAGATTTTGTTTTCTTTTTTAATTTTGTTGTTTGCAAACATATTTTACAAAGAAATTATTTTACGCCGCTTGTCGAAAAGTTGGGCCTAAAACCTGGTTATAGATAAAAGTATTTTTGCTTTTGTTTTACCATTTTTAAATAAATATTTATGTATAATATTTGATGCATATACATAGAATTTTTTTCTTGTTTGTTGCATGTGCCTAATAATTGTCATAATTTTAATGTTCTTGTTTTGTTTTTTTCTTTAGCCAAAAGATTAAGCCTAAAATGTTATGCTTATTTATGCAATTTTCTTTCAGAAAATTTTTCCTCTTTGTTTTAGCAAAATGTGTGTTTCCATTTCGCTTTTGTGTTTTTATAACCGTTTTAAGGGTTTCCTTTGAATTTAATTTAATTTTTTTTTCTTTGCTCAAAACTTGATTAAATTTTAGCTCTTGGCTCTCAAGCAAAAGTATACCATTTACTGGGTTCGTTTGGTTTTTTTTTGTGAATTTTTTTTCGATTCCCTTTTCTTTAGGGTTCAATTTTGTAGCCTTAAATAATTTCTTTGTATTTTTGTTTATAGTTAGATTATAAAAAGAGTTACGTTTCATAGTTCTCTCGTACGTTTTTCATTCGTTTGGTTTGCCTCATTTAGTAGTTGCTTTGCCGAAAATTGATGTAAAACAAATGATCTTAATCCTGGACATACATATATATAAACCTACACATATGTACTTAGTAAAATTTGAGGATAATCTTAGTTCGAGTTTTAGCCAAAAGTAGTTTTACATTTAATGCTTTTGCTTTTCTAATAAATCTGAATTTTGTGGGCTTCATATTTACACGAAAACATCGATCGTAAGGAAAATCTTTAATGCCAAAATGATTCTCAGTGTGTATTTACGAGTGCTTTTGTTTATATTTTGTTTTGTTTACTGTGTCACCATTTTACAAAAAGAATTGGATAATGAAATGAGAGGGGGGAGTGGTTAGGTGGAGTGCGGGGGATCTGGAAGAATATATGTATCTTATTATTCTCACTTCGTTACTGCATGCAGTCTATGGCTAATTGAGGTAGTTCAGTTTACTATTGCAGTTCGATCTGGTTTCATTATTGCTATTGTGTGTGCGTGTGTGTGTGTCTTTTGCGATTAAAATTAGTAGTCCTCACTAGATAAAACTATACGATAGTAGTCGAAACTAAAAACTAAAGCTTTCCTTGATAGCATCTTCAATTTACACAACAAAATATATTTGCGTTTCTCCTCATTATTTGCTTTTTGTTTGTTTTGTTTTGTTTGTCCCATGCAAACCAAAAAATCATAATAATAATAATAATAATAATCGTAATAATAATATTTGTAAAATTAGTTCAAACAAGCATTTATAAAAAACACAAAGAGGTAGGTTCTTTCCTGAGGTATATGAGTTCCCGAGTTTGATTAGACTCTAATTGGTAAGACATAAAACAAAGACCGAAACTAACAGTGAACTAAATTAGCGTAATTCTAGTAACTAAAATACGGTTAATTGTATAATAATCATAATTATAATTATAATAACCCCTGATTAGTAAATATTGATTGATTCCACTGACTGACGGATTGAATTTCTGACTGATGTGTGTGTGCGTGTGTGTGTATTTGGGCTCTCCTCCCCCCGTGACCTTGGGGACGCCCCCGTCAATCGTACTTAAAAATAAAATGTAATTCAGACTCCAGCGAACGTTGACGAAGGGGATTCCCCAGATACAAAACGGGGGGAACGGGGTTAATCTTGTGATGAAGAGGTAGTTGTTGTGTTTTTAAATATTGCCTGGTTTTTGTTTTTTGTAAAATTGTTATAATTACTATTGCTTTGCTGCACTTTCCCTGGTTCCCCTGGCTCAACACGAATGCAAAATAAAATTCGAGTTGTCGTTTTCTTGATTAGGAGGAAATAAAAAAGGTAGATAGGATTTCACATATCGAAAGTAAAAGGAGTGTACTAATCGAAAATAAAACGCTTTCTTCAACTTTGCAAACTTCAAAAGGATATATCACAGAACAAACTGGGGGATCAGGTTGGGTTTCGGGGGTGACATTGATAGTGTCTGCATTTGTCGGGGGGTTTTGTGTGTTTGATTTTGGGTTTAAAATATTCAACATTTTGGCTATTTCACTATGGTTTCTATATGGTTACAGCTCCTGTAGCTTATTTGCTAAACGGAAAATGTATAAATTAAGATAGTTTCATAAATTGAAATTCAGTTTATCTTTCTAATCAAAATAAAACCCTTCTCTCTTTTTTTATCTCTGTTTTGGCGAGCCTAAAGTGTTCCTACATATGCGCTTAGTACTTTATGTATACAGTTTATATTTTATATTAGAACTAAGCTTTTCTTTTTTATATATCATTATACAACTGAGGCCATACATATATGTACATATATAGATATATGTATTTATAATAAATGTATTTACAATACAAGGCCAACACTGGCCTTGCTTTTCCTTTATATATTTTCAATTGCAGCTTTTCTTTCTCGTTCGCTTACAACAAAATTCTCTTCAGTTTTCCTTTTCTTTTTTAGTATTGTACAGCTTATTCTTGTGTGGTTTTGTTTTTCCAGGGGTAATGTTTTAGTTTTCCCTTGTTGATGTTGTCATCGAAATTATAAGAGCCGAAAAAATTAATTTTGAATTTTTTGTTAGTTGAATTTTTCTTGGTGAATTTTCTTTTGTACGAAAAATGTTTTCCAAAGGTGTGCCAAAAAGTTTAGATTTTGAATTTTGGTTTGCTGTTTGTTGTTTTATGTTTTGCTTGCTGTAATTATTGTTGCTGTTTCTTTTTTTGCTTTTGTCAAGTTTTTGAGAACGTTTTTGAGTGGTTTCTGCTTTAATATTTTGTTGCTGTGGTAACATGTTTTACACTTGGCTAGAATTATTATTCAATTCAATTAAAAAATAATTACATTTACTTTATCTCTCTCATCTCTCTCATCGTTAAATATACTTTCCTTTGTTTATAAAATTTTACTAGTAGTCATTTAATTATATATTTCTTATAGGCACCCAATTTACCAATTGTTTTTCTCATATTTACTTCATTAGAAACTTTTCTTTCTGAATTCGGAATTCGGAATTGAATTTGCATTTCTGGTTTGTTTTGAATTTTGTGTTTGTAGCCAAAAGCAGTTTTGTTTTGAAATTTTGAGGCCTAAACTTTGATGGTATCGAAATCATAAAACGAAATATGTGCGGAAAAATCACAAAACAATAATGTTTAATTGTTAAAGCAAATCATTAACTCTCAGTTCCGGGGAGCAACAACAGCAGCAGCTCCTTCCCCCCAAAAATCGATCACTAAGCCCTACTACTACTCGTGCTTCCCTATTATTTTTTTACCTTTTCGTATTATTTAATTTAATAAAATTATTTACAAAAAAACGCGGTAAAACTGGGACAGTGGCATCTTGAGCTTTGGAAGTGAATTTATTGGAAGGAAAGGAGCTACTAACTCTGCTGTCCTTTCATTCTCTTATTGGTTCCATTTTTTTTTAGTCAGAGTTTCTCGTTTGCTATTTATGTATTTTGTTTCTTTTGTTTTTTATTCTTATTAAGTTTATACTATTTTAATTGTTTGCAGGTACTTGTGGTTGCGGTTTTTGTTGTTGCTATTGTTGCTTTGTAGTTTTGTTTGTTGCAGCTATTTTGTTTACAGTTTGATACTCATTATAATTGTTTTAACGCTTTGTTAGATTCATTCATTTATATATCGTTTCTTGCAGTTTTGTGAGACGTGTTTCTATAGGAAATCAAAAATATATATACTATTATGCGACAATAATATAATAATATCGATCTTTTTAACGATCCTCCTCAACACACACGAATAAACAAATATTCTACACTTTCTTTTAGAAATATTTCATTGAGGCTCTGTACCAATCAAAAACGTTCAAACTTTTTGCATTTTTACTATTTGTTGTAGTTTTAATTTGTTAGTTTTTTTTTTTAACTGCTTTTAATTGCTTTGATTGCGAGTGTTGTAGTTGTTGGTTTTTTAGTATTTGTTTTGATTAGCACCCTGAAAACGATTTTTCAGCCGGATTGCATTTATTTCTATTTCTCAGTTTTGAGCTCTGTTCATAAATTGAGTTTGTTGTTTGTTGTGTTTTACTGATTTAACTTTGTCTAGTTTAAGTAGTTAATGGTGGCTGGCTTCAACGCAAATGTTGTAATCACATAAAAATCTGCAAAAAGTTGGACATCAAATACTGCCTTCATCTTCCGGTTACATCCGTTTCGTGTGTGTGTCTGTCTGTCTGTCTCTGTGTTTGCTTGTTTATGTGTCATAATTCTTATCATATTAGTAATTGTTTTGCAGTTAGTTCTAATCAAGAGTTTTCCCAATATTCTTGGGTGTGGTCTCCGAGGGCAACAGCAGTTGCAACAGTAGTCATTGTATTCATTCTTTGCGCGCGTAAATCATTTCGTAAAATCACTCATTTCGTTCGTCGATTCTTAATCTAAATCTAAGCAGCTTCTTTGGGGGGCATCCTCTTCTCTCCTACTGCTCCACATTGACCTTGGGCGTGGAGGTCAATATGGGCGTCTCATTGGGCGGTGGTATCATGTTGGGGCTGGTGGGTGTGGTGGGCATGTGATCATATATCGCTTCGGCCTGGACACTGGGCTCTTCATCCTCATCATCATCCTGCTCGGCCATATGCAGATGCAGTTGATCCTGCTCATCCTCCGAATCCGATAGCACTTCGATCTTAGGCTCTACTACAAGGAGCTCAGATCCTGGCTGTGGCTCTGGCGGCTGCTCATCCACCTCCATGGGACGTTCGCTGCCATCGCTGGCCTCAGCATCGCTGCAACCATCGCTAGTGCCACCACCAGTGGTATTTGTTGTGGTGGTATTGGTGGTAGTGGTTGTGCCCGTTGTGGTGGTATTGGCCGTGGTATTCATGGTTGAATCCATGACCTCTGCCTCCGCCTCTGCTGCCGCCTGTGCCTGTTCGGCGGCCATGGCCGCCTTTATTTGCAGTGCCAGCTCCTGATGCATTCGCTGCTGCTGCTGTTCGTACGTGAACGGTGGCTCAGTGCCCGCTGAGCCACCACCACCACCACCTGATCCTAATCCCTCCGATACCGCTGCCTCCTCGCCTTCGCCTGCCCCCGTGGTGGACTCCGCCACCATGGCATCCCGCCGCTGCATGCACTTCTCCAGTGCCATCTTGAGTGATTTACGTTTACGCTGCTTTGCCGCCTCCTTGTGGGCGTTCATGACTACTGCTGCCGCTGCTGTTGCGGCCGCTTCCTATGGTGAATGATTGGCGGCCGCTGCTGCCGCTGCCGCTGCTGCCACATGGGCGGGTGCAATGGTTGCTCCCGCCGCCAGACCAATCTCCTGCTTATGCTCCCGTGCGATATGCCGACGCACAGTGTTGTTACGCGTGAAGGTGCGCTCGCAGAAGGGACAGGGCACCCGGATGCCCTGATGCCGCTGCCGGATATGCGCCCGAAGGTTCGTCTCATAGCCATACAGGCGATCGCAATACAAACACTTTAGTTTCTTGCCATCGGCCGTGTTCACACTGTTCTTGTTGTTCATCTTGGTGGCATTCCATACGTTCAGCATATCCGCCGGCGCTATAGAGGCAGCCAGGTTACCAGACAGCGATCCATCGGCATTCTTAAGGTTCTCCAGCAGGGCATTCGGTGTGGTCGTCGATGAGGTGTTCGAATTTGGCGGCGGCGGCGGTGAATAGTTTGAGTTCTCCAGCTTTACGCGCAGATCCTCGGCTCCATTCTAAGTAGGGTTTTTGTATAAAAGTTAAGAAATTAATGAAAATTATAGTATTTAAAGGGGAAAACTCACATCTGTCGACTCATCCATAAGCTCGCGGTCGTCATCGTTAGCCTCGTTGGCACTGCCATTGTTTCGCTCTGATTTAACTATGCGATCCAGGCCACTAGTTACATTGCCATTACCCGCTGTGGTGCTGGGACTGTGGTTCTCATAGCGACTAGAAGAGAAGAGAAATTAATTAGAAATATTATAAAATATACTATTATATATATTTGCTAGTAAAAACCATCCTTAGAAACCAACAAATAACTTCTAATCCTTCCTTTTTTCCCTGAAAACCCACCTGGACTGTGGCGAAGCGCGTTCCGAGTGCATGGTATCCGCCTCGGTGGGCGCTGTTGAGGATGCGCTGGACGAGGGACGATGATACGGTGGCTTATTTATGGGGCTGGGACACTCTGAAGATGAGTTCTTGGAACCATCTCGCAGCACAGATCCACGCTGCTCCTGCTCGGCATAGGGACTGCGCAGGGCACGCTTTCGCAGTGGCTCGTAGGAGATGGGTCGATAGATGGGCGGCACATGGGTATAACCCATGCCACCCGACGAGGAGCTACTGCCACCCGGATGCATCAGCGAATCGCATTCTTGCTTCAAACTGCCTGTAGAACCGCCCAGATGATGAGCGGCGCCAGCGCCGCTGCCCAGGCTAATGGGTCCATTGTTGCCATTGTTGGGTCCACCCATGCCATTACCACCATTGCCTCCTCCAGTTCCTGTTCCTCCACTCAACGGACCAATCCCCGCCGCTGTGCCACCGATTATGTTGCCACCAGCACTGCCGCATCTGTCCAAAGCATTTGCACTGGCCGCCAGGGCACTCAGACCGCTGGCTGCCACACTTGCAGCCGCTGCCATGCCACCGGCCGCTGCCATGCCGCTCAGAGCTCCGGCCAGACTCAGGCCATTGCCATTGCCCAGACCGCCGGGTATGGAGTTGGCTCCCGTCACACCACCCAGGCCAATGCCCACTCCAGCGGCACCACCTGGCAGGATGCTGCCATTGCCACCGCCATTGCCTGCGCTCAGGCTGTTTCGCATGCTCCGTCGACCCGTTGGCGAGTCCAGCGGCGAGCTATCGCCCATGTGCTGTTGCTGTTGCGCCTGCTGGGCCGCCAGGCGTCCCGTCTCTGTGGACAGGCCTTTGACCTGGAAGAGAAGAGAGAGGGGTTTGTTAATATATTATAGTTGATTTGATTGCTATATGAATCACTTACCTGTAAACTCTCGGCAGACTTGAGGAAACTGTTGAGCGCCTCCTGGGAGACATGGACCTCACCCTTGTACATAAACTCCAAGAGAGCGGCCATATTATCCGGCGTGGTGGCCTCCAGTATGATGACGCACTGGCCATTTGTGGGCGTATTCTCGAACAGATCGGCGAACTTCTTTGAGCAGGCCGCCAATATAAGTTTGTGGGCTTTGAAAACTGCGCCTGTAAGAGTGGAATTTATAAAGAAATGTAAATAGGAAGTATAAGAACTTTATTGTAATTGTAATTCTAATATATTTTTGTAATTATAAATTTACTGAAAAATGTAATATGATTTTTATACCCTTGCGGGGAGTTATATTTTCGGTTAGATGCTTAAAAACCTGTGAAGGTGTCATTTTCGACCCTGTAAATCATATATATTTTTGATCAGCATTTAAAGCCTAATCAATCTACCCATTTCCGGTTGAAAATAAAATGTTGATTTTTGCAAAAAAAAGATAAAAGATAAAAGATCATTTAAATTGTCAAAAATTGGCAAAAAATTCAATTTTCTACAATTTTAAGTTGAGTATGCAGATTTATTAAACTAATAAAAACTAACATAGGAACGATTTCCGAATTGAAATTAGTGTATTTTTGGCTTAGTTATGATATTTGAAAAAATACGATTTAACGTAAAGTATAGCATATATAGCATATATTTGTTTAAAATGAATATAATACACATATTTTAGATTTTCTGTGCTGAATATGAACACCAAAAAGGCAATTGTTGCCAAAAGTCAGAATATATATGATTTGCAATCAAAACTTGTAATAAAAATGAAAAAGTTATTGGCAAAAAATGATTTGTAAGTCAAAAATGTATGAAAGTTTTAATATTTTAAATATTAAAGCCCAATATGCTGGTATTCTAATACAAGCCAACTCAGAAAAGCTTTCCAAATTGGTATTTAATATATTTATTTATTTATTTTGGCTCAATTATAATGGTTAACTGAAAGAGTATATTAGCTTCATATTTTATTTTAGATAATCCACCCTTTTCTTTTTGGCTTTAATCATCCAATTGACGATATTGTTAATAATCTACCCTTTAAAGCATCTTGTTGCTCCTTCCCTTAACCTTCCTTTGCTGCCAACAGGTGGCGGCGGCCATAGAATGCTAACCGAGACCTTGAACTCATAAAAAATCATGTCAAATATATACACACACACATAGAGAGAGAGAAAAAGACACCCACATAAACACGTACAAGAAGCAGGACAATAAAACCCGCAGCAAGGAAATGATTTTCCTGCTCTTGACTACACACACAACCCACAAACACACACAAAGACACACCCACAAAGGACTTTTCGCTCTCGTTTTGTGTCTGAGTTATTATTCAACATCAAAATGTCGTCTTGGCTCTGTCTTGGGTTGTGAGTAAGTAAGTAAGTAAGTAAGTATATCCTTTGTGTGTCCTGCCAGGTAAGACCACCCGGCGTATACGCAATGCTAGGCCAAAAGCAAGTGTTTCTTGATGTGCTCTCTCTTTGCCATAATACATAATTTTCCCCAGCTCTCTCTCTCTCTCGGTGTCCCTCTCTTGACTTTCCGTTTTTCCTTTTTCTTTGGGGGGTGGGAAAGGTGGTTTCATGAAAGTTATGCCTGTTTTCCTTTTATGGGGCACTTGTTGTGTTATCTGCGAGCATTACTTAAGCCAAATTGAAATGACACTGGCACAGCAGTGGCTTTCTTCTGGCTTCAACAATTTTTATTTACCGCCAAACCTGGTTCCATAAATATATTTCAAAGTTTGACAACAAGGCACTTTGTGAAATTTTCTTAGCCAGCTGCAATGCATTAAACATTTCCTCACTCTTACTTTTTTTGGGGGAGGAAAAAGCTTATCGCTTATAGTGCATATTATGTGAAATTCGGCGGAATTGTGTCAATTCTTGTGGCTGATAAGAGCTGATAAGAAATTCAATTCAAGCAGCTGGTAAAAAACAAAACTCGCTGACAGCCAAGGTCAAAAACAAGCGCATTGCATACACGAGCCCCGAAATTCGGAAGTGATTCAGTCATACGCTGCGTATACGCAATCTGCGTCCTCACTTTATATAATCTTTACTTTTTTTTGTATTTTTTTGTATTTTTTTGTATTTTTTTGTATTTTTTTGTATTTTTTTGTATTATTTTGATTAACTTTCGACTACGCAAATTGCATTTACACACTTGTTTACCCCTCGAAAAGGCAGAACTTTATTTTTACTTTTATTTTTGCTTTCATCATTTGAACGATTATCAGACGTTTGTATGTATAAATTTATTTCGCTGGCTGATTTTTTCTAACACTTGATACAACAGAAATTGGGTCACAATCACCACAAAAGAAATGCCAAAAAAATGTATATATAATAACACACACTTTATACACACACACAGATATGCTATACAAATTCCCTCGCTTGGGCCTGGCCTTGATAAAGAAATGACATATAATGTGTGTGTTGTGTGTGTATTTATATGTATATTATATGTTTTGTATTTCTCTTTTTCTGCTCTTGTTTACGTTCTGCGTTTGCTGTTCGCTTTTTCATTTGCTCCGCAATTTGTTTTGATTTTTTTTTCGGTTATATTTTTGGCAATTTGCTGTTATGCAGTTTGGCAAAAACAAAAGGCTCAAGTACTTTTGTATTTTTCTCTGGGCTATAATCTAATCGAATGAATCATTGAAATACACAAAAAACATAAACACGTGGCTAAAAAACTACAAGAATTCGTTAAGAATTTCGGAATAATTTAAGAAAGATTTTGCCCTAGCTTTGTATTAAAATTTAAATTTTAAATATTATTACAATAAATGCATATACTTCCTATGCAAAATACATCCCAAAAGCAAAATCCTCCCCTAAATATTAACATTTCCCTATTTCTTTTTTGTTTTTTAAACAAATCTCACACCCTAAAATATAGCCCAAGGCCAAGCAAATGTTCATTTGGCTAAAAATGCTCATTTCTCAAGTGCTAAACATGCTCACCAGAAAAAAAACCCACAAACTCCTTGCATCCTTTCATTTAAAAAAAGAAATAACAAAAAATCGCAATCACATGAATATTAAAAACAATAAAAAACATACGTTATTTGCCTTTGTTTTCACAGACAGCCAAATATATAATGCTTCAAAAAAAGAGAGGGTTTGACTAGAAAACAAATCAAACATAACAAATGCAGAATTCGAATGGGAAACCCACCCTTTCTCCTTGAGTGGGGGGAAAATATTAAAAACCACAATTAAAACTGGCCAAAAGCAAAAAAAAGGGTTGCTGGAACGTTGGAAATTTTAATCAAAAGTAGTACCACTTCGATTGATATGAATGACAACAGGGAACAGGAGGAAGCCCAAAAAGGGTTCCACCAGGATTTGTCTACGCAGTTTTCCCCCTTTTACTCCTTTTCCTTTCCTTTTTTTTGGGAAAGCTGTCTGCATATGATCTACTCACTCCTGTTACCTTTTTGAGAACCCCATAATAATCCCAGTCAGTGACTGCTATTCCCACTCATTCAATCAATGCAAAAAACACATCAGAAAAATTCATACTTACGCACACAGGGCGTATGAGCAATGGCTTAACTCTTTAAAGTCTTAAATTCTTGTAAATTCTTGTAATTTAAAGCATAATTTAAGCCAAGGTTAACATTAAGCAAGACACAGCATTAAATGGCAGACAAAAGCTATATAGAAATCATAAAATACAAGGAAACCGAAACTTCTATACCCTTGCACTGAAAATCCTTCATAACTCTGTCAAAAATTCATTAAATTCAATTCGGAAATCGTTCCAGTATTAGTTTTTATTAAATTAATAAATCTGCATACTCAATTTAAAATTTTAGAAAATTGAATATTTTGAAAATTTTTAAAAATTTTAACGATTATCATTTTTTTTTTTTAATTTTTGAAAAATTGTCAAGAATTTTAACTTTAACCGGATATGTCTAGATCAACTCAGATTTTAATGCTGATCAAGAATATATTATGTATATGTATATGATTTATGGGTTCGGAAATGGCTCCTTCACAGTGTAACCAGCTTCTAACTGAAATTATTATACCTTTAAAGAGTATTAAAAAGTAAGCCAAGATGCTGAGGCACATAAACATTCGCAAAGAACTGAGCAAAAGGAAAATATTTTAAAACCCAAATCAAAACGGAAAGAAAAGAAGGTTAACAAGGGTCCCAAATAATACACACAAACCCACACATAATATACATACAAAACAGCGACAAAGGAACCCAAATAACTGACCTTAGTCAAAAGCCTGAATAAATATGTACCAAACATCCGAAATAAAAGTATATATATATATATGTATATATATTGTATAACATATACAAGAGCCGCTATTATATAGGTTTGCCCGCATTTATTCGCCATTTAATAAGCTGGCATAAAAACTGTAGTAAAAGGCCGTAAATGAACTAGTAGACGATGGGGGGAGGGGTGTGGAAAATCATGGCTCAGACAGACACAACCAACACACCGAAAAACCGGCTGACAGACAGACGAGGACGAGACGAGCCATAAAAGCAAACTCTCGCGTCCTTCCATCACCATCATCATCATCATCATCATCATCAAAACACACACAAAACCGGCGGCAAAACTGGCAAAAAGAAATCAATGTCTGACTCTGCCCAGGCGAAGGAACAGGCACAGGCTTATTACCAAATAAATAAGAGTAAACATAAGTAGCAGATACAATGGAGAGGGAAAAGGTAGCTACTACTACTAGTCATAGGTAAATAAGAATAACTCTATGGAGAGCTTATCCTGTAGACTTCTTTGGTTAATTACATATGAGTAAGTCAATCATTTGTAATTTATTTCTAGTCTAGAAATGTTAAGTATACTTTTTAAGAGCCTCAAACTAATCTTTCTGTATAACTATTTTAATAAATAAATACTCTCAAGCTAAACTAATGTTTTCTCTGAGTAACATATAAAAAAATAAGTATCCTTAAGACAGACTAATGCTTTCTATAAGTAAGCATGGTATAAGTACTCTTAAAAATCAATAAACAAATAAAAATGCTACAAAACGTAAACGTTGTTATATTTTTGGGGTTGGGAATATTTTTTAGTATAAGGAAAGAATATTTATTTAATCTAATAACTTCTTTTTTCACTTCTTTTTCAGTTTAAAATAAGGAATAAGGAGTTTAAAGGATCTTTTGAATAAACTCCCAATTGAAATTAATGCCTTTATTGGCTTAGTTACACGATTTTGAAACTTTGATTAGCCGCACAGTTTTTCATATAAAAATAGGTTTGATCGATTTCCGATTCCGAAGCGATTCTATAATTCACCTTCAAACTGCAATAGTAATTAAATTTCAGGCTTCCGAAGTTAATTCCCTTTCTTTTTCATTTCATTATTAATTCGTAGCACCAAAAACTATTTTAAGGATAAATGCATAACGCATAATTTCAATGAATCCAAGAGATCCATTATTATAAACAATAAGATGCGGCACACATACTTTAAATTAATGTATTTTTTTGAATTCTTTTGATAAGAAAATATTTGTTAATTTAATTAAATTTGATCACATTTAACTTTAAAAGTGAAGCTATAAATGCAAAACATCAAATACTATATAAGGAGTAAAATTCGTAAGCATATTTCGAATAAATCCAAGTAAGCCTTGAATTATTCCTCAATTCTACATTAAATTATTCACTAACTGTAATAAATTCTTAACCAATGATCTTAAAAATAGTTAAGATGCGATGCCTAATGCATCATTAATATTTATAAGAAATCTTTTTCCATAAAAACTTACCATCGCAGGATAGTGTGACATCGGCCAATAGATCCGATTTGAACAGATTGGAGAATGTTATTGCCAAATTAGACGAATAACTGTTCCATTTGAGGCAAAACTGCTGCTGTGGATCCATTTTGCCAGCAGTTGTGCGTAACGCTCCGTTGCCACGCCTATAGCTATATCTTTTGTCTCCCGATTCTTAGGCGTAATCGTTTCCGTTTCCGTTTCCGTAATCGTATTTGCTGGATCTGTGTCTATATCCTTAAAGTTGGTCACTGGCAGGAACCAAGTTGCTTGAAAGGCGCCAGAGCGACGACAAGGATGTGGACAACGACAACGTAATAATTGTTGTTTACGATTTGTGTCAATGTTTTTCGATCGTTGTTGCAGAAGATTTTCGTTTTGAATTGATTTGTTTGTTTTCGTGTTGCCAAAATGGAATTTCGTGGAATTTTGTAGCTGCCAGCAGAGCATAAATGCTATTCGGCTGCTGCAAATCCTTAGCCAAAGGGAATTTTGCAATTGTTTAATTAATTTGTTGTGTGTCGTACTCGTTGATTTCACTTTACACAAGACGACGACAACGACGAGGACGATGGTGACGACGACAACGACGACGGTTTCCGGTTTACCAATATCAATTATTTCCGTTACTGTTTTATTCGTTGCTGATAATGATAAGTTTGTTTTGTTTGGCTTTTGCATATGAAATTCAGCGACGAATTATAAGCGACGAAATCGAAATCCGAACACGACAAATGCTGCAACGAGAATAGAATGAAGAAAATTGTATTTTGCGATTAGTTTCAGTTTCGATGCGTTTGACAGCGGAGACCAATGCCTGCTTTCTGTTCATAAAAAAAAATAACCTAAAATAATAAACCAGGGAATGCAGATTGCAAAGAGCTATATCCTACACCCTAAATTCCAAGAAATTCATTCAACAAAACTCAAATTTCAAAAGCTGAAGCTGCCACAAAAGTTTTACGAAATTTGGCCCAAACTGCAGCATCGCATTGGTGTTGGTAACTCTATCTTGGCCTGCAGCATTTCCGACCAATTTATTAGAAATTAATCGAGCATTTAGAAAGAACCAAAAAACACGAAGAAAGAAAAACGATCAACGAAGATATACGATTCAATTCTTAGAATTTTGTGGCAACTCAAAAATGCCGCCGTCCCAAGGTTTTGATGCAACGCGAGCGAGGCACAAAACTTTCTGATTTCCCCAGACTCTTGGCCCTCTGCCTCTGTCTTTGGCTTTGACTTTGACTTTGACTTTAGTGCCTCGTCTACTGTTTCTACCCCTCCTTCCCCTCCTTATTATCCTTTTTTTTCAAAACTTGGGATTCCTGGAAACTGCAGGTGAGGCGATGCATGGCGATGCGTTTGTTTTCTTCGAATTTGTTTAATCGTTAGAAAAATGCGGCCTCGCCACTTTTTTCGCAGCCCAGAATCCTTGATTTTTTTGTTTCCTTTTTTTGTGTTTTATTCTTTGTTGACCATCAAAATCAACGGTTTCTTTTTTGGACCCGCCGCAAAAAAAAAAGAGATATCGGTAAAAAGCTATTAAGAAATTCCTGGGAAGTTTGCAGTTTCGTCCGGGACAGGAATTCATTTGGTTTTTGGAAAGAGGGGAGTGCCAGGGCGTAGCAAGGTTGCCCTTGAGGGCCAATCATGATTGCAAGATTGAGAGAAATTGATCAAAATGATTAACCACAAAATGCAGAAATGCAAGAATGATAAATGTATACATATACAGGAATATTATTGGCTTCAAAAGAAAAGGTAAAGTAAAAGGTAAAGGAAAGTATTCATTTTTAAGAATGTTTGGGAACAGTGCACTAGAAATTACCAAAACGGAAAACGGAAAACAACTTCGGGAAACCGAAATTTGTATACCCTTGCAGCTTGCAAATTAATTTTTTGGATCGAATCGAAAATCAAGCTTAAAAGATCAATTGGATCAATTTTTATTGATATTTTTATATGACAATTTTTTCGAGTTTTCAATTATAAAAAATCGCATAAATAAGCCAAAAAAGCATTAATATTAATTTGGAAACCGTCCCTATGTTAGTTTTTATTAGGTTAATAAATTTGCATACACAATTTAAAATTTTAGAAAATTGAAAATATTGTCATTTTTAAACGTTTTAACGATAAAACCCCTTACTTTTACTTTTTTTGAAAACACCGAAAAAATTTCAAAAATTTTATTTTCAACGGGACATTCTTAGATCGATTCAGCTCGAAAAATTCAGGTCGAAAATAATTCCTTCGCAGCTTTTTTTGAGCTTCTGACTGAAATTATAATGCTAATAATATATATAGATATTAAAACACCATACAAAAATAAACAAAATATACAACTTCCATTGCACAAAAAACCCGAGAGTTTTCTATTAAAGGTTTTGCTGAATCTCTATCTATTTTGCTTTCGATTGGTAAGACTTTGATTTAGTTTCAAGTTTAAGAATTTCGTTGCAAGTGAGCGACGCATTCCCAACCCCCAAAAGTGAGGCAACTTTTACCACCTTTGTCTAAAGGCGGAATCACCTTTCTATATCCAATGCCACATCCGCATCCACATTCACATTCCCAACCATCCATCCCCCCTTCGAAGGAGAAGCAACCCCAACAAACATGCCTTTTACAAAACCCAAACGAAAACTTCTTTATTTTTGCACTTGGTTAGCTTCTCGCTTCAAGAGCTTCAGCCTGAGCACAACTGTACTTTGTATACTTCTCTCTCGATCTACTGGATCGAATCGAAAATCAAGCTTAAAAGATCAATTGGATCAATTTTTATTGATATTTTTATATGACAATTTTTTCGAGTTTTCAATTATAAAAAATCGCATAAATAAGCCAAAAAAGCATTAATATTAATTTGGAAACCGTCCCTATGTTAGTTTTTATTAGGTTAATAAATTTGCATACACAATTTAAAATTTTAGAAAATTGAAAATATTGTCATTTTTAAACGTTTTAACGATAAAACCCCTTACTTTTACTTTTTTTGAAAACACCGAAAAAATTTCAAAAATTTTATTTTCAACGGGACATTCTTAGATCGATTCAGCTCGAAAAATTCAGGTCGAAAATAATTCCTTCGCAGCTTTTTTTGAGCTTCTGACTGAAATTATAATGCTAATAATATATATAGATATTAAAACACCATACAAAAATAAACAAAATATACAACTTCCATTGCACAAAAAACCCGAGAGTTTTCTATTAAAGGTTTTGCTGAATCTCTATCTATTTTGCTTTCGATTGGTAAGACTTTGATTTAGTTTCAAGTTTAAGAATTTCGTTGCAAGTGAGCGACGCATTCCCAACCCCCAAAAGTGAGGCAACTTTTACCACCTTTGTCTAAAGGCGGAATCACCTTTCTATATCCAATGCCACATCCGCATCCACATTCACATTCCCAACCATCCATCCCCCCTTCGAAGGAGAAGCAACCCCAACAAACATGCCTTTTACAAAACCCAAACGAAAACTTCTTTATTTTTGCACTTGGTTAGCTTCTCGCTTCAAGAGCTTCAGCCTGAGCACAACTGTACTTTGTATACTTCTCTCTCGCTCTCTCTTTCTCCTTTTGAAATTATCCTGTTGATGTCCTGCCTCCTTTGTTGTTTTTTGTATATACGCAATGAAATTTACGCAGCTGCATTTGAAATGCTTTTTTCAATTGCAAAAAATGCTCAACGTAAAAGAATACAAAAAAAAAACACAAGGAAAAAAGCTAAAGCTGAAAAATAGATCAAAAATCCTATATAGCATGCCTTCTCTGTCTTTTTTTTTTCTTTGTACACAAGAAATCGCACCTGAATGAAGTCTCAAGGCGAAATCATAGCTCAGGTATCTGGTAACCTATCTGCCTTTAAACAAACAACAACAAAAGCCAGAGATATGTGCGAAATGTACAAAATATAAGGAGAAAAAAACACAACGCGTAAATCCTTTTCACAAACACAAAGACACAATCACACACACATCACACACACAATTCATTAGGATATGCGTTCCAGGAACACAAATGAAATAAAAGCAGCTTTCTATGCTCTTCCAATTGTCTTTGTGTTGGGCAGGAAAATAAAGAAGAAGATGGTATTTGGATCGAGAACTTATAGCCCGAAGGGAAAGGACAAGATATAGAGAGAGGGTTGATCCTCGGAATCAGGGCAAAAGCGAAAAAAGGTATTACGCAATCGAAATGGAAGCAGAAAATGCAACCGAAAATGGTTAGAATATACTTTGCTTTGGTAGACATTAAAGTTTTGTTAAGGAAACTATTAAAATTTAATTAAGAACATCTCAAAAGACCTTTAAAAATAATTTAAGATAGCTAGAATATAAGAATATATAAATACTATCTTCATAAAAACAGCTAGCATATTACCTTTAAATCTTAAATACCATCTTCATAAGTAACTATCCCTAAAACTTTCCTCTACAAATACAACACCAAAACTTCTTCTTCACTAATACTTTTACCTTATAAACCCATAAAAAATGTCTCACTTTCTTCCAAAACAAAAGTATTTATCAAACTATTGAGGCAGATCAGTGGCATTATTTACATAATTCTCGAAAAAACAGTTTCAACTCCCGAAGCATCTGAATAAATCTAGGCAAAAACAAAACCTCAAAGAGTTTTTTAAATATACATACATACTCTATACATAAATACTCGCATATTTAATTGTTTTTTATTTTTTGTGGATGCTGTTTTTTGCGACTAATTGACCTTGTGCACTATTTAGACAAAACGTCAAGTCGTCTCAATTCCGTGATTCACATTTTTTTGAGTGCAGCATAACTTGAGTGGTCAGCTTCGCAGATACAAAGATACAAAGATACATAGATACTATTTATGTCTTTTGCACTGTCCATTTTTCGACATTCTTGTTCGATTTGAATGGCAATTAATTTCGGCAAATGACGCATTTTATTATGAAATCTTTAACTGTGTCTTTTGTGTTTATTTTTATACCCTTTGCAGGGTACTTCGATACTACGATTCGATCCTATAATTTAATTGCAAGCTGCTGGGATATTTAAATTTTATTTATTTTATTGTTTTTTTTGTTTATTTTTATACCCTTTGCAGGGTATTTTAATTTTAGTCAGAAGCTTGAAAATAGTGAAGGAATGATTTCTGATACCATAAATCATATATATTCTTGATCAGCATTACAAGCCGAATTGATTTAGAAATGTCCGGTTAAAAACAACATTTTCGAAATTAAAAAAAAAAAAGTTAAAATTTTGAAAAATTTGCAAAATATTCAAATTTCCAAAATTTTTAAATTGAGTATGTAGATTTATAAACCTAAAAAAAATAACATAGGAACGATTTCTGAATTAAAATTAATGAATTTTTGGCTGAGCTATGAGATTTTTATACTTTAAATTGTTGAAAAACTTGCCATATAAAAATACCTAAAATTCTAAGATTGGTTATAACCGAATTTCGATTCGATCCTATAATTTAATTGCAAGCTGCTGGGATATTTAAATTTCTTTAAGTTAGTTTCCTTTCCTCTTTTTGTATGGTTTTGTTTTTTAGTTTCAAAGAAACGCATTTGGACAAACATATAGAATCGCTTGAAATAGATTTTGATCAGAGCAAATGCCACAAGAAATTACTTGGCAGAGGTTAACCTGAACTTGGTAGATTGGTATTATCTTTTCGCAGCCTACTAGGTCTACACAGATGTATTCTATATAAGGTTTAGTATCTTAAGTATCATTATTCTTTTAAGATTAACTAAATAACTTAAA